ATGTAACTTAACGCCTAGTTTAGTATAATTTTGAATATTTGCTTTTGTTTTTCATTCTTTATATATATACACTAACTAATACTATATTTAGATTAAATTTAATAAATTTTGATTTTTAAATATAGTAACAATTACTAAATAAATAAAAATTAAAAAATTACCACCATAACATAAATGGAACTGAAGTAAATAGGCGGTTTATAATGATAGACTTTTCTTAAAGATAAAATACTATAGGAGTATATAATACAATTTAAACCTTTTTTCATACGTACCATTTAAACCATTTTTTAATTAATAAATTTAAAATTACTAATTGGGAAAAAGAATAATCTAATATACTTATATTTAATTATTATTATTATAAAAATTTATAGTTATTAAAAATATTTTAAAAATAAAAACAAATCACACAAAGCGCAGCTTAAAATCTAGTCTTATATATATATATATTGATAAAAAAAGGAGTCATTTTTCCAACCAACGAGCTGATATAATTTTTACGAAGATCGTCCTTTTTTATCTATCAACTAATGACAAGTATTTATCATAAAAAGAATTGTATGTTGTGCAGGTTGGGTTCCTAAAGCTAGAGGAATTGGAATTATCTTGGGTCAATGTTATCACAATATGGCACATTTCAATAACACCTTCCTGTGTTGAGAAATTGACAAAATTGATCATTGAGGGCTGTGATAAATTGGAATACTTATTCTCATCTTCTATGGCTAAAGGTCTAGTTATGCTTGGACACCTTGAAATAAGGGAATGCGAGAGAATGATAAAGGTTATTCATACAGAGAATGATGATGAAAGGGGGAATTTGAGGTTCCCTAAGTTGAACTTCTTAATGATAAAAGGTCTTCAAAACATTATCTCATTCTGCTCAGGAAATTATGTCCTTGAATTCACATCACTGAAGCAACTTCAGATATTGAACTGCCCAAATTTAAAGGCTATGAGTAAAGATGTAGCAGCTGAGACACAGATGCTCTTCAATGAACAGGTAAAATTTCTTTATTTCACTTTCAATTTGACTCTAACTTAGGAACTAATTGTCTTTATCTTTTTACTCTTAATTGCTTATTGCATTTTGTAAGTTTCTTTTCCCAACTTAGAAGGCATGACTATCCCAGTTGAAGGACAATTAGAGACCATATGCACAGTGCATACTTAAATAATTAATAGTTATAATGGGAGAACTTATCCACTTCCAAAAAACAAAACAAAAAAAAAAAAAAAAATTGCTAGAAGTCATTGACTCTTTTATAATCAATCGATATGCTAAGGAAGGATCTGAAAATCCGAAGTGGAGTTAAGTATAATTGATAGTAGTTGGCTAGAAGTGGTATTTAAAATTGGAGAGTTC